CCATAAGCCCCATGTATAGAAATAACAATACCCATTATCATTTCAGAAATATGTCAAATATGGTCCTTGGCATGTGTACCCACAATTATCCACCCATAATCCCTTTGCAGAAAAATAACTATTCCCATATTCTTATTAGAAAAAGGTCAAATATATTACTTGGCATGTGCATGCACAATATTCCACCCATAATCCCCATGTAGAAAAATAGCTATTCTCATATTCTTATCAGAAACAAGTCAGATATGATCCTAGGCATGATTTTCCACCCATAATCACCTTGTCTAAAAATAATTAAAGCCATAACCATTTTAGGATTAGGTCAACTATGGTTCTTGGCATATGTGTCCACAATAATCCATTCATAATCCCCATGTAGATAAGTAACTATTCTCATATTTTTTTTTGTTCCAAAAACACTTTATTAATATAAGAATAGACAAGATAGCATATAGAGCATAAACAACTATAAAGCACAGTCAAAACAAGGACATGACATATAGCCTCCCGTTTCACAGACGGGGCTTATTGTAAACTGTAATACGAAGCAATGTAGGGAAAATCAGTACATCAAGCAGATACTGCAAACCATTGGATACGTAGAGTGGGTACAACAATGTAGGTGTATGTTGTCACGTCCTGAGTCTCTGCCATTTTAAATGATGAGGTGATATGAAGATTAGAGCATGGAAGGCAATAGATGTTGTGAAAGTCATGGTTTACGTATTTATAGCTCATGTGTGTAAAATCATTGAAGTTAATCATATCTGTGTAAATGTGAATGCTCTATTTGGTTGGTGAAGAATGACTGAGAGAGTGGTATGACAGATGTGAAAAAAGAAAGAGGTCGGAAAGAAGAGCAGTAAGCAAAAGAGATATAGAATGAGAAGGTAGGTGGGGTCTGGGGACAGAAGAGTAGAGAAAAAAAAAAAACTTTTTTTTTTTAAATATATAGGAAGGGGGGGGGGGGGAGTAATGGGTTGAGTGACCGTATCGTGTATAGGTAATGACAAGTTAAAATAGATCACCTACCCAAGTATTAGCCTAGCCAGAAAGGTAATATTAAAGCTTAAAATATGGTACATGCACGGTCAGGCAGTGGGGTAACACGAGGATCAGAAACCCCGTAAGGCAGATCATGATATAGTTCTACAGCCCAACCTTACGTGTGATAAAAGAGTCCCCGGTGAACTGGGTATTCCCTCGATACAGCATTGTGTTCGGACATTTAATCCGGGATTGTAGATTGATCAATTACTATTAGGCGATAGGTAGAGGTGAATTTGAAATGATTCCAGCATGCCCATGTTTTCCTAAATCTCTCTGGATGTTCTTTAGCTATAGAGATCAGTTCCTCCATTTCCTCAGTTTTGTCGATCCTGGCAAACCATTCTCGTACAGTGGGAACATGTGTTGAGCGCCAGTGTACTGGGATACATTGCTTTGCAGCATTCACCATGTGCATAGCGAGTGACTTGTGGTAAGTCCGAAATGGGAGTGTGGTATGATGAAGCAAAAATTGTGCGGGAGAGAGGTCTAGGGCATACGTAGTAACTTGTGTGATTATAGATTGAACTTCCCCCAAGAAAGGTTGTAACAATGGGCATTTCCCCCAAATATGCAGGAGTGTACTCGTAGTTTGATGGCATCTCCAACACAAATCAGAAATGTTGGAGTCGAAACGGTGGAGCAGTGATGGAACCCTATACTATTTAGAGTATATTTTAAAGTTATTTTCTTGTGTGGATACACATATAGACCCTTTGTGTATGTGTTCATATATGTGGCCCCAATCTTCAGGTGAGAGTTGGATTTGTAGGTCAGCGCTCCAGGCCTTGCAAGCTTTCCTAGTTGAGAGGTCACTGGTGTGTTCGAGACATGTATAAAGCAGGGATATAACATGTTTCTGGGGAGAGTCCACTGAGCAGTTTCTCAAAGGGGGTAAGATGTCTAGTATATTCCTTTAGATGGAGTGAGCTGAGGATAAAGTGATGGAGTTGTCTGTACATCCACAGTGTTAAGGTCCGGGTAGGTCATTTATTCAAAAGGTGGTCTCTGGATAAGAGAGAGCCATCTTTGAAGAGGTGATGCAGACTTACGCCATCTGTGAGGCCAGATCCCTCAAGAAAGGCATGCGACATACCAGGGGAGAAGTCTGGGTTCAATCTGATAGGAGTGAGTGGACCAGGGGTGGATGAGAACTCTGTATGCTTACTGATCTGGTGGTAACAGGACTATGAAAATGTGTTCCGTGAATTCAGATGGAATGTTGGAACTTAACAGCCAAGGGGAGGTGGCGAGCGGGGTCTTCAAAAAAGCAGCTTCCAATTCAACCCAGGCCTTACAAGCATAGTTCGTGGACCAATCAACTATTCTTGCCATTTGACAAGCTTTGTAATAAGAGATGTCAGGTAACCCTATACCTCCACACGTTGTGGGCATTGTTAGTTGGTCAAAACTAATTCTAGGGCATTTATTACTCCATAGATACGAAGTACATAATGTTTTGTATGACTTAAAGAAGGAGTTGGGCAATTTGATTGGAATGGTTTGCAGTAGATACAAAAGTCTTGGAAGCACATTCATCTTAATTATAGCTGCTCTACCAAACCAAGAGAAAAACGGTTTATCCCATGCTTGCAGATCTTTGGTAATGTTACGCAGGATGGGTAGAAAGTTTTTGGCGTATTGTTCTGTGAGATGGGTTGGCAATTGGATTCCTAAATAGGTGATGGCATCTGATTGCCACGTAAAAGGAAAATTCAATATCGCTTGTCGAATCGCATCCTGAGATAGGGAAATATTGAGTGCTTGGGATTTAGTGAAGTTTATTTTAAAATTGACCAGATACTGGAACAGGTTGAAATCTTGTAGGAGATTAGGTAGTGTAATGTGTGGATGTGTCAAGAAGAGTAGGATGTCATCAGCAAAGGCTGCTACTTTGTGTGTTTTGCCATTTATAGAAATTCCTTGAATATTGTCATTCCGTCTAATGCAATTCAAGAAGGGTTCCAAAGTAAGAATAAATAGGAGGGGGGATAGCGGGCAGCCCTGTCTAGTCCCATTACTTATGGCGAAGGCTTCCAACAGAAGGCCATTGACTTTCACTTTAGCAGTCGGGGCGGTATATAGCGACATGATAAAGTTCAGAAGATGAGGAGGTATCCCAAGACCAACCAGAACTGCTTCCATGTAGTCCCATGCCAATCTGTCAAAGGCCTTCTCAGCGTCTAAAGAAAGGAAGAAACCAGTTTGTTTCTTTTGTGTTAACCAATAGTGTATGTTGATTGCCCTGATCGTATTGTCTCTAGCCTCTCTACGGGGGACGAACCCCACCTAATCAGTTGAAACAATAGGATCTATGATATGTAGTAAGCGATTGGCCAATATCTTGGCGAAAATCTTTAGATCGACGTTCAATAGGGATATCGGGCGATAGTTTACTGGCAATGTCTGGTCTTTATTTTCTTTAGGATTTAGTGTGATATGGGCTTCAGAGAGATGGTGTATGGGCTGTCCAGGGGTGTCTAGTAAATTGAAAGCTTTTAGGAATGGGTGTGCAAGGACGTCAATGAAAGATTTGTAGTATGTGGTAATAAGTCCATCAGGTTCTGGGCTTTTGCCTGGTTTTAATTGTGCAATGGCCTGTTGCAATTCTTCCAGCGTCAGAACACCATCTAATTCTTTGGCTTGTGACTGAGGAATGGGTTTTAGGGAGGAATTGAGCAAGAAAGGACTGGATAATAACTTTACGGTGTCTAGCGTTCCCTGGTGGTTTGGGTGATAATGGTAGATTGTACACGGAGGTATAATATTTTTCAAATTTGGTTGCGATATCCGTGAGTGCGTGACCGTGTTTAGAGTGGAGTTGAGAGATGGTACGAGAAGCTTTTTTAGTTTACAGGGCCCAGGCTAAAAACCGGCCGCACTTATTGCCGTGTTCATAGAAGAGTTTTTGCGCTAAAATGTACTTCCATTTTGTTTTCTTTTCCACAATGTCTCACAGTAGTTTTCGGACCTGGTCAAGTTCGTGCAGAGAATCAACTGCCTTGGAGCGCTTATGCAAGCATTCCAATGTTCGTACTTTTTGGAGTATGGAGGTAAACGACGCTTGAGCCATACATTTCCGAGAGGCCGATATGGAAAGCACAAGTCCATGAATCACACATTTGTGTGCTTCCCATTGAGGGGGCGAGTTTTCCTTAAAGTAATTGATTAGAGATTCACGCATTTGAGTAATAACGGATGAATCGGGGAGGAGAAAGGATTCTAATCTCCATGTTTTAGATGTAGGAGGGGCATCGGGAAGTTGTATAGTCATCGTAACCTGGTGGTGGTCAGAGAGAATCATTGGTTCAATGAAGGCAGATTTCAAGTTGTGTAGGTCTTTTTGCGAAAGAAAGAGGTAGTCAATTCTGGAATGGCGTTTGTGTGTGGTGCTGAGAAAAATGTGTAGTCTTTATCCGTGAGATGTAAGGTACGCCAAGTATCATGTATGAGAAGGTCGTTCAATTCAATTTTAATCTGTTTAAGCTCTCGGTAAGGTTGTAAGGAAGAGCCTCCAAATATCACTAGACCCGATTGGAAAGCTGCTAGAGTTTTGGATATTTTACGAAAGAAGCTCACTTGAGCTGTATTGGGACTATATATGTTTGCTAAAGTGAGTGGTTTATTGTGTAGGGTGAGTTTAAGGAAGAGGAACCTTCCTCTGGATCCTCGAGAGATTCGGTAATCATGAGTGGGAGAGTTTTGGAGATCAGAGTGGAACCAGTTTTGCTTTTACCTCTGTGTTAACTGAATGGTATGCTGTTGGATAGTTGGCGTTAGCAAACTTAGGGATGTGATCAGCACGAAAATGAGTTTCTTGAATAAAAAGCACGTCAGCACGCAGACTTTTCATGTAGGTCAAGAGTTGTGAACGTTTTTCAGGAATATTTAGGCCTCTTGCATTAAGAGATGCCACAGTGAGTGTACGGTGAGCTCGTTGTCAAGGTCCTACCTTTTCTCAGACCTTGTGCTGCTCCATGTGCTGCAATCCATCTTAGGTGTCTGCAAAGCATTGTGGGATCCTTTATGCTTTCAGCCCTCTGCGGCTCCTCCCCCAGGAGGTGGCGGCTTATCACATAAGACTCCTCCTGGCTTCTGACTCCGGCTCTGGCGACCATTCTTCCTGGCTCCTGATCTCGGCTCTGGCGATGATTCTTCCTGGCTCCTGATCCCGGCTCTGGCGACGATTCTTCCTGGCTCTTGACCCCGGCTTTGGCTACGATTTCCGCTGTTGGACTTGCATAGACTCTTGTCTTATTTTTATATTAATAAACCTACCTTTAATTGCACCTCCTTGTTTGTCTGGCTCCTCGCTCCCTGACACTACACGAATGCCATGAATCCTGACGGTGCAGGTACGCCCTCGCTCCCTATGTTGGTTGACAGACTTGATCATCAGGATCTCTTGTTGGATCAGTTCGGTTGCTCAGGCGTTGCAGATGCTGCTTGCACGCACAGCGCACCTTACTCCTGGTGCTATTAGGCCAGTTGTCACTCCTGTGGTCGCTCCGGTTGTTGCGCCTACCTCCACATCTGCTGCCACACCTGCGGTGCCCAGAGGTATGACTGGTTCAGCCCCCCTTCCACAGCGCTTTGGGGGTGAACCGAGTCAGTGTCTGGGTTTCCTTAACCAAGTGGGCATATATTTTGAATTGATACCCCACGCTTTTCCTACTGAGAGGTCAAAGGTGGGCTTCCTAATCTGCTCTCGGACAAGGCCTTGGCCTGGGCAAATCCCTTATGGGAGAACGATAACCCTGTGATTCACGAGTTTGCCAGTTTTGTTGCCTCCTTCCATACGGTATTTGATGTGCCTGCTCGCTCCGCCTCTGCTGCTAAGCTGCTCATGTCCATGCATCAGGGTTCATGAACCATTGCCGAGTATGCCATAGAATTTCGTAAACTGGCGGCAGAGGTGGGTTGGAACAGTGAGGCTCTGGTGGCTGCTTTCTCTCATGGTCTCAAAGATGCGTTGAAGGACGAGATTGCAGCCAAAGAACTGCCTGTGGAGCTCGAAGCACTCATTTTCTTCCTAATCCTGATTGACACCAGGCTCAGGGAGAGGCCTTCACTTAAGGAGCGTCTGCGGAGGCCTTCTAACCGATTGACGCCTATGTTTTCTGTCCCACCTGTTCCCCCCTCTCCTCCTACACCTCCTGGGGATGGCTTGTCTGGTGGTGAGCCCATGCAGCTGGAGTTTGCTTGCCTTTCTGATAGGGAGCGGGCCTCTCGGCGTCGGGAGGGTCGCTGCCTGTACTGTGGTCTCGGTGGGCATTTTCGGCAGTCCTGTCCGGTCCGTCCGGGAAACGCTCGCACCTGAGATCCTGTCAGGGGAAGATCTTGGGTGGAGTTTCCTCGTCCCCGGTGTCCCGCAAAGATAAACCTCTAATCACCGCTGTCCTCTCTTGGGTGGAAGGCTTGGTGACGGCCCAGGCGTTGGTAGACTCTGGTGCTGGTGGGTTGTTTATGGACAGTTCGTTTGCTGCTCAGTACTCCATTCCTCTGCAGGCTTGAGTTACTCCACTGGTTCTTGAGGCGATAGATGGCAGGCCCCTACAACCGCCGCAGGTTACCCACGAGACCCTGCTGGTTGAAGTAGCTATTGGGGCTGTTCACAGGGAGTTGGCCTGTTTCCAGGTAATTTCTTCTCTGCACTACTCCGTGGTTTTGGGATATCCCTGGCTTCAGAAGCACAATCCGACCTTTAATTGGTGGTCGGCTGAGATTCTCTCGTGGTCTCCACAGTGTGGGGCCGGTTGCATCCGTTTACCTGTTAAGGTGTTGTGTGCCTCCTCGGACACTGTGTTGCCCACTGACTATGGGGAGTACCTGGACATGTTTGACAAGGTGCACGCCGGTGCTCTGCCTCCTCATCATCCATACGATTGTGCCATAGCCTTGCAACCCGGTCCCACTGCTCCTCGTGGCAGGGTGTATCCTCTTTCGTTTGCGGAGAATCAGGCCATGGAGGAGTACGTTGCGGATGCGCTTTCCCGGGGACACATTCGCAAGTCTACTTCCCCAGCAGGAGCTGGCTTTTTCTTTGTGAAAAAGAATGGCGGTGAATTGAGGCCTTGCATTGATTTTAGGGGTCTCAATCGAATCACGATTAAGAATGCTTACCCAATTCCGTTGATTACCGAGTTGTTCGACCGCCTCAAGGGAGCAACGGTCTTTACTAAATTCGATCTTAGGGCTGCGTACAACCTCGTACGGATCAAGGAGGGTGACGAGTGGAAGACCACGTTCAACACCAGAACCGGCCACTATGAATCCCTGGTTATGCCCTTCGGGTTGTGTAACGCACCCACGGTCTTTCAGGAGTTCATTAATGATGTATTTCGTGACTTGTTGCAGCAGTGCGTGGTGGTTTACTTGGACGACATCCTGTTTTACTCTGTGTCTATGGAGTCTCATATCCAGGATGTCAAGCGGGTGCTGCATCGGTTACGTGAGAACGAGTTTTTCTGTAACCTCGAGAAGTGTGAATTTCACCAATCCCAGGTTGCCTTTTTGGACTACATCATTTCCGCTGTGGGATTCTCCATGGGCCCCCCAGAATGTTTCAGGGGTTCTGCAGTGGCCTCGTCCCAGTGGTCTGGCCAAGCCTCTCTCAGATCTGACCAAGAAGAGCAGTAATCCCCACAAGGGGTCATCAGAGGCCATCTTAGCTTTCGAAGCTCTGAAATCCGCCTTCACTTCAGCTCCGATACTGTCTCATCCCAATCCTGGGTTGCCCTTTGTCCTCGAGGTTGATGCATCTGAGACGGGAGTAAGCCCCCTTCTGTCTCTGCATCGGTCGCCCGATGGACCCCTACTTCCCTGTGGGTTCTACTCCAGGAAGCTTTCCCCCGCAGAATGCAACTACCAGATTGGAGACAGTGAGTTGTTGTCCATTATTCAGGCTCTCAAGGAATGGAGGCACCTGCTCGAAGGTTCTGCGGCTCTTGTTCTCATTCCCACTGACCACAAGAACCTGACGTATCTCTCGGAGGCTAAGAGGTTGACGCCCCGACAAGCCAGATGGGCTCTGTTCTTATTGCATTTTAACTATGTGGTCTCCTATTTGCCTGGCTCCAAGAATGTCAGGGCTGATGCCTTGTCGCAGCAATACTCTGAGCTGTCCAGGGAGGACTCTGAGCCGACCTCGGTCATACCTCCGGATCAGATCCTGGCTACCATTCGTACCAGCCTGACTTCTCCCCTTGGGGAGCAGATTTTGGCGGCTCAAACTGATGCTCCCTCTGAGAGACCGGCTGGTAGATGTTTTGTACCTGAGGGATTGCGCACCCGCCTGCTGCGCACCTACCATAATTCCAAGACTGCCGGTCATCCGGGGAGGAACCAGTTGTCCTGGATCGTTTCTCGTCTATTCTGGTGGCCATCTCTCCGTTCCGAAATTGCCTCATATGTAGCGGCATGTTCTGTCTGAGCCCAGAATAAATCTCCTCGGGATCTTCAATTTGGCCTTCTGCAACCCATTCCCAATGGGGAGCGTCCATGGTCACACCCGGGCATGGATTTCATTGTGGACCTCCCTGCGTCTCAAAGCCATACGGTCATTCTTATGATCATTGATTGTTTCTCCAAGATGTGCCATTGTGTTCCGTTCAAGAAATTGCTGACTGCGCAAGAACTGGCTATGGTTTTTGCCAGGGAGATCTTTCGCTTGCATGGGTTGCCTAAGGTGATTGTCACTGACCGTAGGAGCCAGTTTGTTTCCAGGTTCTGGCGCGCCTTCTGCTCCCAGTTTGGTATCAAGCTCTCCTTCTCTTTGGCCTACAACCCGCAGTACAATGGGGCTGTGGAGCGTTCCAACCAGGCCCTGGAACAATTCCTTCGCTGCTATATCTCAGACCATCAAGACAATTGGGTCGATCTCCTGCCATGGGCAGAGTTTGTGAGGAACTCGGCTGTCAACTCCTCCTCCGGGATGTCTCCCTTCATGGCCAACTATGGGTTCCAACCCGCTGTATTGCCTGAGTTGTTCTCGCCACAGGACATTCCGGCTGTGGAGAACCATCTTGCTGCCCTGCGTTCTTCATGGGGGCAGATCCAGAGGTCCTTGATGGACTCAGCACAGCGCCAGAAGCTCCAGGCTGATCGTAGACGGTTGCCCGCTCTTTCATACCAGGTCGGAGATCGGGTGTGGTTGTCCACTCGTAACCTCAATCTTCGGGTGCCCGCATCAAAACTTGCTCCCCATTTTGTTGGTCCTTTCCGCATCCTCTGCAGGGTGAACCCGGTTACCTATGCCCTTGCTCTTCCTCCTGGGATGCGTATCTCCAATGTCTTCCACGTATCCCTGTTGAAGCCTCTGGTCTGCAATCGCTTTACTGCCTCACTGCCTCGGCCCCGTCCTATCCGGGTTGACAGTCATGAGGAGGCAGTATGAGGTGAGCCGCATCCTGGACTCTTGGTTGGTCCTCGGTCGGGTGCAGTTCCTGGTCCATTGGCGTGGTTATGGTCCCGAGGAGAGTTCCTGGGTTCCTTCTGCAGATGTTAATACTCCTGCCCGCCTCCGCGCTTTTCACGCCCGCTTTCCCCAGAAGCCTTATGTTGAGCCGCGGAGGGGGAGGGGCCCTTGAGGAGGAGGTACTATCAAGGTACTACCTTTCCTCAGGGTTGTGCTGCTCAATGTGCTGGCATCCATCTTAGGTCTGCAAAGCATTGTGGGATCCTTTATGCTTTCAGCCCTCTGCGGCTCCTCCCAGGAGGTGGCGGCTTATCACATTTAAGTCTGCTGTTTGCAGCTGTCTATTGCATTCGTGTCCTGTCTGTTGCATAGAAGCAAGCTCCTGTTTAGTTAACTCTTTCATCTCCTGGATACCGACTCTACTTTGGCTAAGACTCCTCCTGGCTTCTGACCCCTGCTCTGGCGACCATTCTTCCTGGCTTCTGACCCCGGCTCTGGCGACCATTCTTCCTGGCTACGATTCCCGCTGGTTCTCGACTTGATTATCCTGGAAGACAACCTCGGCAGGGGAACTTCTGTCCTACCAAGTCATCCGCTGTTGCTGTCGGACTTACATAGACTCTTGCCTTGTTTCTGTGTAAATAAACCTACCTTTAATTGCACCTCCTTGTGTGTCTGGCTCCTCGCTCCCTGACAGGCTCTCATAGAGGGAGGGGGAGAATGAGGGAGACATGTAGAATTCTTAACAAAATGGAGGGTCGTGTCTGCCTCTGGTGTGCACGATTGCAATACCTTCCCCCTCAGGTGGTTGCATGGGAGGGAACTACAATTTCCCTCCTGACGCAACCGACCTCTGCCCAGAGGTTCACCTTGGGTTGACCTGGTACCACTGCACTGCGGGAGAACCAAGTTCCTTCTGAAAAGGAAGCTGTTCTCTCCGGCAACACTGCTGTGCCAACCAATTGAGCGGTCATGGGTGAGCACCAGTCAGCTGTGACTATCCGGATATCGTGGCGACTGCCGGGGTGCCCACCTGTTCACAAAACACTTTGACTCAGGGGTGTCATCTGCTAACATATTAATATGTAGCTTCTTGTCGAGGTGGAGAAGGAGATTTCCCTCTCCCATCTTCTTCCTCAGGCCTAGGACTACATCTGGCCCGAAGGTAGTGGTGCCTGTGTGCACCGGAACCAGACAGGCGAATTCTGGAACTCGCCTCCCAGATGTGTCCACAGGTATCTTCATCCAAGATAAACAGTCCTCTTTACCTGCTAGCATCCAGGACACCAGTTGCATCAGTTTCCTGCCTGCCAGGTCAGTCACAGGTCCAGCTGAGCCAGGATAGTTGCACCCAGGTGTCTTACCATAGTCAGCTGCACCCAAGACCGACGTAACCTGCTTTTTGACCTGGGGAGTAGGCCAGGCCATAACTGCCTCAGTCTCCCCATTCTCAGACCTCTGGGGGTCTCTTCCTACCAGTGGTTCCCAAAGCTGAACCACTGACATGCCCCTCTGACAGTTACCATTCTCGACTGTCAGACTAGGCGCGGGCAGGTTGTTCCTGACTAGTGACAGGGGCCCAAGTTGCTCTTCCCAGACAGCGCCGAACACCGCAAGGCCCTTAAAGTGGGCAACTGCACCCAGTTCCACTCCTGACCCCTGGGGAGGTGGTTGGTGCGTTCTCAACCCCAACTAGCTTTCCCGTGAATTCAGGCAAGCCACATGGGGTAGTGAAGGCTGACTCGTCCTGAACCTCCTGGGTTAGAGATGGTGGCCCAGACCCCCTGCTCAGGTCCATGATTGTTAAACAGCGGGCACCTTCCAGATTCTTCATTACCCCATGGCCCCTGGGCATGGGGTGTGCCACACCCACAGGGCTGGCGCTCAGTTTTCCATGGTCCTCAAAAAGCCTAGACTTGAGCTGACCCCTAGATTCCTGACTGCGCCATTTCCTCTGTTTCTTTGGCCCATTCAACCTGCACCTCCTGGGAGATGAGGTTGGCGGAAGGCAGGAGGGAGGCATACATTCTGCCGTCTAACTCCTGAACTGCACGGTGAGCTCTCCCCGGGTTTCCCAGAACCCAGACACCATCTAATATAGGCATTGCCAGCAGATTCTGTACCTGAATGGAAAGGAGAGGTGATTGGAGCTGGGGGCCGCAGCCCCCTCTCTGAGATCCGCTGATCAGCTCCAATGATGTCCCTCGCACTTCCAATCCAGGTGTTCTGTGCCTAGGACACATGTTTGTCTGCCTGGTGACACACCAGGGCAGGTCAGATCAGATTACATGCTTTCAGGCTCCAAACCCCCTGCTAATAGGCCATTCATTCCATTCTCCCTGTCAGGCCTTTGTTTACCCTTCTCAGAAGGGAAGCTCACATCTAGCTAGAGGCTGAAATCCCTGTGTGAATTGCTTTCCAGTGCTGGCCTGCAGGTGGGACTACAGGTTTTACCCAGCTGTTGTTTACCCTTCTCTCAGCAGGGACGCTCTCAGCTAGCTGGCCTCTGAAATTCATTTGTGGATTGCTTTTCAGGGCTGCCTTACACGTGGAACTACAAGTCCCAGCCGGCTGTTGTTTTACCCTTCTCAGCAGGGAAGCTCACAGCTAGCTGGCCTCTGAAGTTCATTTGTGGATTGCTTTCCAGTGCTGCCTTATGCGTGGAACTACAAGTCCCAGCTGGCTGCCCAGTTCCATGCAAGGCCAATGGCTGGGCACTTATCGAGGCATAATCTTCTGGGCCTGGGCAAGGAACAGGCCTATCCAGACCATCCCTTTGCTCAGCCCCCAGAGATTGTACCTCTGCCCTTTTCACAGCACTGTGGGTGACCCCCAAAAATGAAAATGCATCATTTGTTTCATCATGACCATCATAATTAGCATTATCAACATTTTCATCAACATTACTGACATTATCAATATCAGCATCATCGTCATCATTTGTTTCATCATGACCATCATAATCATCAGTAGCATTACCAACATTTTCATCAACATTACTAACATGATCAATATCATCATCAGCATTGTCATCATTATCATTATCAACAGTCACGTTTATAATATCAATGACACATGATTTCGATACCTCCTCAGGCAAGGGGATTTCTTCTCGTTCTCCAGCTAATGGAGAATCCTGTAGCCCCACTCCATTCCCAGCCCCCCTCCCTCTGTCCATCCACAGGTTGCCCAGACATTACCCCAACATCTGCACACAGCACCTTGGCATATCCAGAGAGTTCCAGGGGGCCCTTCCGGGTATTCTCGGCAAGGGGCATAATAGGAAACAAGAGTGCCTAGATCATCACCCAAGAAAACTGGTGTGGGAATTTCATCCAAGACCCCCACCTCCCTCATCCCCCTTTCAGCACCCCAATCTATGAATACCTTTGCACAGGGTATGCGTGAACGGGTCCCCCCCAACTCCCGTGAGGGTAAGGAACTTTCCTGGGATGAGGTTCCTTTGATCAATCACCTCTGGCCGGATCAAGGTGACTTCTGCCCTGTTGTCCCGGAAACCAGTTACAGACCGGTTGCCCACAGTGAGTGGCTGCAAGTTGGTGGGGGTTACCCGCATCTTCCTGCGGATGAACAGCGCAGAAGAGTTGCTGGCTGGCTGACCAGATGATGTTGTCTGCTTCTGCTCAGGACACTGCATCCTGAGATGTCGAGCTTTCCCACAGATGAAACATCTGTGGTTGTCAGGCAGGGATAGCTAGGCCCCAAGTGCTGCAGGTGTGAGCGGAGGGGAAGCTTGACTCACCGACGTAGGAGGGGTTGCTAGGAGTGATTTCCCCCTTTCCAGGCGTTCGGAGGAGCGTTGCGATGGTCAGACACTCGCGTGTGGACGAAGGTATCTGCCAAATCGTCTGCAGCTTTAGTAGATGCTGGCTCTCTCTCCAAGACAAACTGTCTGACGTCAGCCGGGCAGATGTGCAGGAATTGATCTCGTATCATGAGATCTTCTAAAGACTCATAGGAATCAGCTTTCAGTCCCTTAGTCCACTGCCGGAATGTGGTGCGTAAGCGACTCGCCACATCCGTGTAAGAGTCCCCAGGTACCTTTTGCATGTATCTGAACTGCTTGCGGTACACTTCCGGGGTCATCTGGTACTTCCGGACAATGGCATCTTTTAAAACTTTGTAATCGTCGTCCTGCCCCTCTGGCAATTCAACAAACGCGTTCAGGGCCTTGCCTCGTAGCCCTGGTGTCAGGTTCCAAGCCCATTGAGCTAAGGGCACATGGTACTGACGGCACGTTTTTTCAAATGACAGTAAATACGTGTCAAGGTCACTATCTTTTTCCATCACTGGAAACTTGGCTGCGGTGCCTACGGTCAGAGAGGCGTCCCTATGCTCTAAGGACCCAAGGTTCTGGCTTTGTGTCGCTGCTGCTGGAGTATCACCATCTCCAGCTCGTGTCGATGATCAGCTTCCCTCTGCACCACCTCTCGGTCAGCTTGGCGTTCCGCTCTGTCCGCAGCTGCTTGGTGTTCCGCAACCTCTCTGTCAGCCTGGCGGTCAAGGAACTGCAGGTATGCCTCAAGATCTGTCTTGATGAGGCATTTCAGGGCTTCCTGCATCTTAGGAGAGTCTCTGCTGGTTACAGGCACTATGGTGCTAGCCCGTTCAGGCGGTGGTGGTGATACCATTAGGTGATCCACCAGCGTCAGTCTCTGTATGCCCATCCTGCAAGGCCATCTCTGAGCCACTGGGAACGTAGGTAGCGGGAACCCCGTCATGGTCAAGTTCCCCTGAGTTCTGATCTGCTCGGCTATCATGCTCCTGTAGATCCTGAATCAAATCATCACGGGTTTTGTGACCGACGTCCATTCCCTGTGCGGCACATTCCGCACTCAAATCACCTTTGCTCATTTTCTTGTATTCTGCGTCACCAGACATAATTGCAAGCAAAGATAGAATAGGAAGCAGAAAAAGGAAGGAGCTGTTGCTATATGTCTCTCTCTATATATGTATATAAAATATGCACCGCTAGTTTCTGAGGACCGTTTCCACAAAGGTTACAAACCTTCAGTGCAGTGCTAATTTTTAACACTGCATGGAAGCTCTTAATGCAACAATCCCACGTACGCTGCCAGCCAATATGTGACGAAACGCGGCGTCAGACCCCTGAATTTCTCACCAAACTCGTGACCAAAGGACTAACCAATCTAAAACCGCAATGTCACATGCGTAACAATGCCACACTCAGCTGCACCCTGCACAATGATTTTCCAGCTAATTGGACCACAGTCGATGTACCGGCAGCCTGGGAGTGATTGTTACTGGGTCAGGTTAATTACGCAATTAACCCTTCTCACTGCCACCACTTCCTTTTTGTACAGAGAAAGAGGAAACTCAGTAATACCAGCAATAACACTATGATGGTTGAGATAATCATCTGTATAACACGGTCACCACAGACCGGTTATACAGAGGGTAAACAAACACAGTAGTACTCTTTTAGAGGCAGGAATTCGTAAATTGCAATAAAGAGCTATAGAAACAGTTCAACACTTTCAGAAGGAAAGATTTATTACTAAAAGGTCAAAAGGGTGCAATAAAAATATTTACAGAAAAAAGATGTAACCAATATATATATAAATATACAGAGAACAACAGCACAGCAAAGAGATAACAGAGAGAAGTTAGAGGGTTAAAGTATTTTCCAAAGTCTTGGGTTAGTAGATCAAGTTTCAGAGTGAAAGGGCACAGGTCTCCTCAGGTGGTTCTGATGTTAAAAGGGAGAATTATTCAACTTAACTTCTCTTAGGCCTGACAGCCCATTTTGTAGTTCCCTAGCAGGTGGTGTCTCTGAAGTCAAGGACCAATACCCCGTTTAGGGAGGGATTGTCTGGGTGTAGACCTAAGCTAGATCCAAAATCTCTTGTAGTTCATATTTTGCTCATAACTTTCCCTATGCACAAGTGACATTCCACCCGCGGGTAGATTATTATGCAGACACACACCTGAGGAACGGGTAGATATGAAATATGAAACACATATTTGAAGGGTTCCAGAGATGTAATTTTCTGCTTTCCTAGGTATTCCAGTCAGGGAGTGTGACCTATTAAACTGTTTTGTCTCCTCGTGGCCAATCTGAGGATATGCCTGCTTGTTATGTAAGTCTCTCATATTGCAAGATATGAGACATAGGGGGAAATGGATTTTAAAAGTGTTATCTGGTTCGTTCTTCTCTGGAATGTCTTTGAACTCCTGGGAAGGCTTGCATTATCTTTTACGATGTGCTATATTGCACAGCTTTCTTAGACAGCCAGGCTCTCAGCTCAAAGAGGTGTATAGCTCTGGGCTCCCTGCTGGGCTCTGGGCTGCCTGTGACACTTCCAACACCCACACCAACCAGATGTCACTGTGGCTCTCAGAGAGGGAGGGGGAGAATGAGGGAGACATGGAGAATTCTTAACAAAATGGAGGGCCGTGTCTGCCTCTGGTGTGCACGATTGCGACACTCTTCATTTGTTACTTCACAACAGAACGGGCAAGAAGCTCAATATCTCTCTAAAGCTTATTCCATTTCTATAGCTACAGCTTTTATTTCTTATATTATTTCTGTATTTTATTTTATCTTTTTTATCCATTTTATGTTGTTGCCAAGTGTGAGTTAAATAAAAGTCACAGTGTTGTAAATCAGCCTGGCACTAGAACAATTTACCTAAACGCCTAAGAAGGACACTTACATATTAGAAGTGTCACGATATTTAACAGTATGCTGCGATCATAGATTTCCTTTAAGTAATAAAAAAAGGTTATTGCTGAATAAACAGGCCCATAGTGATCCACAAGGAGCATAACGATACAAAAGCTGAAATGGTTAATAAACATTTATTCTGTGCAAAGTCTTATATTGGAAAATACGGAGATAAAATAACATCTGATAATGGCGTGCTTTCAGCAATCATGAGACCATTCATGGAGCTTCTAGTTGTTATCCTGCTAAACAAGAAAATGTTTCTGTTTCCTCCTACTGAATAATTCTTTGTGCTCAGATACTGGATGTCTACAAGGTGGCATCTGGTATTCCTGTATGTAGGGATGAGATGGACAGAACCAGGTTTGGTTTACTGCTGTCAATCACAGCCAGTGAGAAGGGAGTGGGGGGCGGTTCTGAGCCATGCTTTGTGTGTCTTATGGACACACAGAGTGGCTTAGGAGTGATAATTGATACACAAGTGCCCCCATTGCAAGCGGTTTGCTATGGAGGCACTTGGTGGGAGGAGGAGCTGGAATCGCCATCTGGGGACCCGAGAAGAGAATGATCAGGGCTGCTCATTGCAAAACCATTACACAGGGCAGGTAAGTATGACATGTTTATATTAAAAAAAACACTTACAATCACTTTAAGAGGAGAGGGCAGTGCAGCTTGCATTAGGGTCTGGTATTATTTTTAGGAGATTCCTTGCCATTTTGTTGCATGGGGCTCCCTAAAATTCACATCATAGAGGTGTAGGTTTTTGGGAGACTCTTTGTACTTTCCACCAATCTCTTGCCTTTAAGCCTTAAAAATGGGGATAATTGATTTGACAGTTTTGGCTCTTCTTGATTTCAGTGGGGTTGGGATTTGGCATCCAGACTTATGATGTTTGCTGAACATCAAGTGAACCAAACCTGGTTCTGTCCATCTCATCCCTTCATACAGGAATACCAGATGCCACCTTGTAGACATATAACAGGGACAATATGGCAAACTTACCCCCTAGAACATCCTACTTCATATATGGGATGTCTCAATGCTCTGTCATCACCGATGACATCTTCTCAGTTCCTTCATCTGACCTGCTTTGCTCGATCTTTGGCCACTGAGCAGCCATGATGATGTAACTCTCTCATATGGGCGTACCTTATGGGAGTTACATTATCCCAGCATCTGGATCCTACTCTGCATTGTTCAGGTGGTTGGAAAGCAGGAAGGCTCACTGCATGGTACGAGCACCTTCCAAAAATCCTGAGCAAGGGAAAGATTTTTTTTTTCCTTGGCAAAAGGGATATACAAAGTTGCTCCTACAAAAACTCTAGCAATTCTTTTTTGTTTTTACTTTTCATCTGCA